ACCTCCACTTGCAGTTGTCGAGTCGTTAATTCATCTCAGAACTATTTAAATATTTCTACTTTTACTTTTTTGGATCGTGTCGGGCGTGACTCGGCGAAAACATAAATATTACATAGCCAAGCGACAGCAAAACTTGAGTACTTGTAACATAAAACAATTCAAAGTGCCCACTTTTTCAAAGTAAATTGCTGCTACTTTGTGTGCCCATCATTGCAATTACCCTTCACGACAAGTGCAGTCGAAGAAAATGCTCCTTTTAGGTCAGGTAAAATACTTTTACTCGTATAAACCTACAACTAGTTTCCAACTGTTGACTTCCTATTTTCTAACAAGATTTCTTTCTGCCGATAAAATCTCAAGTTGTTCTGAGCCCTCTTTTGCGTCATTTCACATTAGATGGAATGGAAAATACCACCAACACGTGAATAGTGGGGGTTTGTTGGAGACATATTTCGTGATAACGATATTGCGCAATATTTTCCTCCTAAAAACTGTCAATGTATTTTGGGCTACTCGATTTACCATAAGTACTATTGCTTTATGTGCTACGAGGGTCCGAATAAAGTGGAAAACAATGTTATTACACTTTCAAGACCTAATGATCCAAAAACAAATAAGTATCGGAGTTTGTAAAGTCCTCTTACTTCCATTGAAGTAAACATAAAGACAAAGTTTCTAATGAATCGGCCCAAACGCTCAAGAGTGTGCGAGACGAAATTCAACGAAACAATTGAAACTCTTAGCCGATAACTTTCCCCGTCTAATTACCTTTTGCCACCGTCACTTACGTCTTCATCTCACGAATATATTGCCATAGACCAGATAATTGTCTGTAATACCAGTTGGGTTGCTTCGTATGGCACACTGACCGACTTAGGCCTACGAACCTAAGTCCTGAGTAGAGACTTAGCGCCTCCGCGACTCGTCGCGGAAACGCCTACTTAATACCTGTCGATGGCTTTCTCGAACTTAATTACCGCATGGAGCTATTTAAGTATGATGCCACGGGTTTAAAATGTAAAGAAAGAAGCACTAAAGTTTCATCCATCCGTGACCGATCCCGCTCTTTCACTTCTAAATGAAGTATGAATATGGAAGTCGCGTCCGAAGCCATATCGGGAGGGGGATAGAAAAAGGCTGTAGCTAACAGTAAAGCAGTCAATGGACGAGTGACACTGACAATGAGTCGCTTTCCGTTTTTGGCCGCGTCACGTATGTTACGTACGTGCGGCATAGGTCGCAGCGGGCCGACTTTCCAGCGCATCACAAACAATTGATTGGAAACCAATATCAATGTGGCTATTGGCTGTATTTTGGTTTTATTCACTTTCGGGATGGTCCGTTTTTAAAGCTTCATTTGTTTTAACAGTTACGATGCCATATTTGTAAACAAGCCGCCGCGTTATATTTGTTTTGACCCACATACTGAATAAATGTTTTTTCATTTTTTTCATTACATTTAAATATATGTATAGTAACTCCATCTGCTGCAGAATAAAACTAAGTTTTTGCTCAAGCATTGTAATGGATGATCTCATGTTCGCATGCCAAATTATAGATCTACCAAAGACCTGACAGGGTTATAAAATTGATTTTGTGTTAGGATTAAGTTAGCACATACATAGAATTCTGGTTAGACGCAGGTAATCGAATCAGAGATCACTTCCGCCATCTTGCGGTCCGCAACACCGCGAATGCATTCCGTTACACGACCGTAGCATAATGAGAGCAGTCAGTTCATAAAGCGAAAAACAAGAGAAATCGTCAAAAGCCTTCCATTGCCTAATCTTACACCTACTCAGATTAAACTCTACAATAGTTAAGATCAAGTGGATAATTAATACCTACATTTCACATATTTTAATTGCAATTTCTTAGCCCGCTGGCAGATATTCACGAAGACCTCTGTAGTTAAAAGTTTCCGTCCACTCAATATTGACAGTCGAAATAAGTTCTCTATTACAGCCCAGTTCAGCGGCAGCTCGCCCTACAGCCGTATAAGATAAGAACTTGAATATTTGTTATTTTACTGGGTGGCTATAGCTGAAGGTCGCGGGAAGAACCTGGGAGCGGGCAGCGCTGAACCGGTCGTTATGGAAATCCTTGGGGGAGGTCTTTGTTCAGCAGTGGACGTCATTTGGCTGAAACTAACGAACGAACTGGCTGTTACCTCCCAGGCTAGACCAAGCTCGCCCCTCCATTCCGAGGGGGCTTGATTAGGGATATTCCGATACTAATAAATACGAGTAGGTACTCGATACTTTTGATTCGATACCAAGTATTTATTGTATCGAATCAATTTTGCGATACATAATCGGTATCGAAACAAAAATACTTGGTATCGAATCGAATCAGCAAAACAACCGAAAACAATAAAAAAACCGAGAACGCATCATACAGAACTGAAAGAGTCAGCTAATCAGCTTTAATCGGTTACTGAGTTACTAGAGCCCGAGCCGAAAGCGAGAGAAGGAGACACCCGCACCCGCCCGCAAATCATCTCGCCATTCCGCCATTGTGAAAGTGTTAAGTCACTATTTACAAGTAATTTTATTAATTGTAATCATCGAATTCATCGGTTTATTCCAATGTTATCATGGCATAAACCGATAAATAAATAGTTGTTTTCTTCTCAATTTTGTTTAAATTATTGTCCTTCAACGTTCATTGATAGCACCCTCAAAATAATAAAACTAAATAAAAGTTCCAAAAAGTATCGATATCAGTAAGTATCGATACTTTAGGAGTACTTATTTAAGTAGTATCGAAAAAAGATTTGAGTATTATCGAAATGAGTAGGTATCGATACTTAGGTGGTATCGGAACATCCCTAGGCTTGATTAACGAAGCGACACCTAATGGGCGCGATAATGTGCAGATCGTTCACATTTCCCGTCCGGGCCCGGGTTAATATGGGATAACTAGGACTATGCGGGGTCTAATGAAATTGACAAGAAACTAAAGGAAAAAACACGTAACAAATGACATAGAGGTGGATAAATGTAATTTCTATGAATGGTGTTACGATATCGACACAGTTCAACTAGAGAGCATATAATAATATTATGTCCACTAAGACTGAAGTTAAATTAAACAGACAATAATTATCTTATTAGATTGTCTTAAACAGTGTACCATAAATAAATTCAAACATATTGCGGTATTCACGTGAACACTGCTCTATCGCATCATCTACATTATTATTATTATTTTATTATTATTTATAATATAATATTAATATATAATAATAATATTATAAAGAGGAAAAATTTGTTTGTTTGTTTGGTTGTAATGAATAGGCTCAAAAACTACTGGACCGTTTTTAAAAATTCTTTCACCATTCTAAAGCTACATTATCCACGAGTAACATAGGCTAAATTTTATTTTGGAAAAAAATAGGGTTCCGTAAAATATGTAGATAATGTAGTCCACGCGCGCGAAGCCGCGGGCGGAAAGCTAGTAGTCTATAAACTAACAAAATATGAACATCAATGTAATTGGTTTAAAAATATTTTTTTTCTTTGTTAATTGCTTTGCAATCAAATGTTATTCGGCCAATTAATTAGGGAAATTGTAATTTAACATTTATTACTGTACAAAATCTACAATAACACAAATGGTATCCTTGCGTAAGTATATTTGGCAATGACTGATTGTAGAAATAATTTAACAATCACTGTTTATTTGAAGACACTGATGTAGAAAGATAAAAGGCTTTATATTGTTGGTTCAATATAGCTTAATATCAAGCCTTGTATGGTTCTCCAGCGAACTGTGTTAGCTTTCTTGGACCGAAAGTTACATAAGCTTTAGCAAACCAATTGAAAGTTGGTGTAACGTTACGAACAATACAGGGCTCAAATATTTGGAATAACTATTAATACTATTACATTCACTTAACTTTGCCAAACTTTCACTGTATTTGCATACACATGATTTTAAAGTGAAACGTAACGTCATGCTGAAGAAATTTTTATGTAATTTTCAGATTAATATATGAGGGACAGTGCCTACCATTCGCAGGTTTTTGACAACTTACATATGACCATAATAGTAAATTGTGATACATACTTTACTTTTACTTTACTGTGAAAAGTGATGACATATTAAAATACTTGTCTGAATCGCGGGCATACTTCAAAGACATTAAACAACCTCGTCTATACAGTGTATTTTATAGTTAATTTGCAAAACGTGTTGCAGCTATGTGCAGTTACGCTAACTGGGTCACAGAGCGCCTCGGCTACCGTAAACCGATAGCAGCGATCTACAATAAAATGCAGCTATGCACTTTACATCGCTACGCACACATTTTTACAACACCCTCGAAGTTAATGCGCTATCGTTCCCGAATTCCTAACTAAATCAAACTAGGATTCGCTTGTTAGTTTCAGAACTGAAGTTTCAGCCTTGTGAATGAATTCCGCTGCGCCTTGAGCTAAAATTTGGTATATGAACTTGTTTATTTTAATTCCCTTTGCGCCGTTACCAAGTAAACTTCATATGGTAAAGTTCGCGAAACAATTTTACGTCAATCCACAAGAGAATAAAAGGCGCAAGAATACTCAAGATTTGTATACCAAACTCGTTACCTCCCTCGCTCTTGCTTATTATTTTACTGAAAATGAAGTACAAGTTAAACTATCACGACAAACAAACTTAACTGAAGCTAATTAAGTAAAACATCGTCCAATTTTCAACGAAGCTTCTTGTAGGAGTTTCGTAATTTCATAAGACCAAGTACTTTCAAATTTGCTGCTTCAGCTATGAGAGTTTCCAAATATTACTATTTTATCAAAGGAATGGTACTCGTTACATTAAAAGCATGTTTTAAGCAATCATGCTTCATGAGATAACTATAAATGCCCCGTTTCCGTTGTTATTACATTTAGTCGTAAAAATCAAAGGAAACGTACCTACGTAATTAATAAATGTAAGTTAAGAATCGACAGTTTATAATTGCATTGGATGTTGTAACTGACGCTTGGTTTTGTTTGCAGGTACACAACGCGTGCGAAACAGCCCACGGAAGAGAAAATCAATTTCGCCTGTTATTTAATATTGCCTATTGAGTGCGTAAGTGTACACGTATCTTCAAACAGATTGAGCAAAGAAAAAGCCTCTTACTTTCTTCGATTCATTCAAATTTGAGTGCACGAGTGTAAAATGTGAAAGTGAGCATTCGGCAGCGGTCATTTGTTCGTACTATCGATGATTGGATGATTGGCTTTCGCATCACTATCACGTTTTGAAACAATTTATCAACCAGATGTGCCTTCTGTGAATAGTAAAAGCGAACAGTGGGCTAACCGAAATGCGTTTAATTATTAAGTCAAATTGAACAAAATGAATCCCAATTATCACGGCAGTAATACAATAACACTTATCATGATCTATTTTATGTTATTTATAAACATTTCAATACATTTTTCAGCGCGCATTATATCAAAATGCTGTAATAATAATTGTTTTGCGTTTAGATCCATTAAATTAGTCAAATTTATTACTTCACATTATCGTTAACAAGGTATAATGTATGTAAAATTGATTGTTTCCGCGAGAACCCGCTAAAGTAGAACAATAATGCCAACTTTATTTTTTATTTGAAAACATTTTCCTCGTAAGGGTATCCGAAATAGTAGTAGACTAGCTGACCCGGCGAACTTTGTTCCGCCTTAATGGCAATAAATAAGCAGACTTTTTTTTTTAATTTCGAACGCGATAAAAAGTATCCTATGTCCTTCTCCTGGCTCTAAACTACCTCCCTGACAATTTTCAGCTAAATCCGTTCAGCCGTTCTTGAGTTATAAGCGAAGTAACTTACACGACTTTCTTTTATATATATAGATATGTTAGGTAGGTACGTACTTATCTATGTTGAAATGGTTAGGTAAGAAGTATTAGACTGCTGGTTAGTGCTGATTTACTTTAACTGAGAATTATAGTAACTGGAAGCACCTCAAATTACTTAACATCTAATTGTATCCAAGTACCAGTTTGTGCGCTTTGAAATCGAACTTTTACCTAGCCTCCCCTAAAAAGCATACAATGTTTCACTAAATAATTCAATCCCATCGTTTCCAATATTAATAAAGCGATAATGCCATGCATGTTTAACAGGATACATTAATTAAATATTCATGTCTCTCATGTTAAGGAATGGAATTTGATAGCAATTTCGCACGAATTAAATCAATCCGCACTCAATTCCTGTTAATAACTACACGCACCCAATATGAATTTTAACCGATAATCTCTCATAAGGTACTTGATACAAATAAGGCCTACCTAACTTTAAATGCTTATATTTCAATAAATATTAACGCCAGTCAACAAAAACAAGGTTTATTAACTTCTTCCATCCTTTAATTTTTATAATATTACAAAAAATAACACAATTTTAACTAAATCTATTCAAAATAAGCAAATTACGAAACCACTGATTTTGGCTTTATTAAATCACCTACACGGAATAAGGCCTATATGATTCAAATGCCTGTAGACCTTAAAATTGAAGTTGTATTAAACAAAATGCGGTCTTATAACATTAAACATGTCGATTTGTTTGCGTTATCAAAATTTTACATACCAAGTAAACAGAAATTTACTGTATATCTCTAGATAAACTTAAATTCCACTTATTAAGACTATTACATAAATTATAGATAAAATTAAATATTCATAGTAACAAAGTAATGATTCTTTACTTAAATTATCAAAAAAAAAATCAAAAACAAACAATATTATTTTTTTGTATAGGGCTTATTAAAACACCGTGTTCGAATAAGGCCTACACATAAAACCTTTTAAATAAGTCAGTGTAGGAACATCATTTAGTCTTGATTTTTTGTAAACAAAATGAGATCTCAATTTTTGTTAGAACCAGGGCATAAAAAGGCTTCTGAATCATCTTTACGAACTCCTACATAATCTTTATGATACCACCAAAAGCAGTCCTTTATGGTAGCATATCTGCTACATTGTCTTCGAGACAGGCATGATAATACCAGCTTTGATTCTCCTATCCTTTAGAATTATACATACGGCTTTTTTTTCTTATTTTTTAGTGGTTTTGTATTTTGTTTCNTCGCTCTTGTTGTCTTTAAAAATTTACAAATAATGCATCTATAGCCAGTAGTACAAATTAAGGTAATTATTAGCTAGTAAGAAATATTTAGAAACGATTACTAAGAAAAGATTAATCTAAAACAGCGTTATTTTACCGAAAATTTAAGATGAAAGCGCCAGATTTTTATAAGAGAGCACGATATCACCCACGACCTTAGAAGAACGCGTGCCAATTGGTGCTGGGATCGTGGATCGGGACACTCTTGCACTCTACCGGGTTGTAGGGCATATGAGTACGTGTCCTTGAAGTATTATCCCGGTTGGATTTATTTATCTGTGTTTTCTGATGTATAGGCCTTATTAGAACGTAGGCCTTATTTGTATCAAGTACCTTAGATAATATAAATTGCTGATTGAATAATCCTGACCAATTAATAGAATCCGCAGTTCTATACTTATTCGATTTATACTTCCGTAATAATTGGCACATCACTAATTATAACCGCCAACTAAATTGAAAAGCAAACTGAAGCGACAGCGGAAAGGTTTAATTTATATTCGTTTAATTAAGGTATGTTCACATTAGTAGGTATGTGTAGGAAATGCCCGAGGAAAGGCCCTTTATGCATCAGCTCACACTTATAAGATGTCAACCATCTTCCGTGATAAGGGTGATTACTCATAAGCATTAGTATTGACTTCCACGTATATCCTTAAAAATGTAGATATAGACCCAGTTTAGAGATTGAGACTTCCAGCTTGAGCGTGATTATCTTCATACTCGAGGATGAATTTAGTATGAAAAAATTATACTTAACCAGAAAATGAGTGCGCTCAAGCCAAAAATCTCAATTCAGAACCTTATCTGACTAGGAATAAGAGCAACTTCGTAGTTGTATCATATTTGTGTCATTATAAGCATGAAATAGAATAGGTACCTGTAACTTACATAAAACTTTTTTTTATATTCTCGTTACGTGAACGCTAAATGATTTATTTGTTTAATTAGTGAACATAGAAGATATACGTATTATTGCTAACGGTACCGCATTCCATGATGTACTGCAAGTTTATTTGACAACGAAATCAATATGCAGGACAACTTTGGCCGGGGTCCCGTTGCGGCCATCCTTGTGCACATAACGGACGATCAAATGGCCCCGATTCTTTGCTTGGAAGCACAGACAACGCTGTGTTTTGAACGTTTGACAGCAGGCCAGACTTGGACGTCGGTGTTTTTGCCAAAGGTCAATTGGAACTCTACCTAAGTTTTACTCGTAGATTGAGTAACTATGCTGTACCTACTTGAGAATTTATAATCTACAGACAGTTAAGATGTTAAACGTAACGCTAGAAGGCAAAAATATTTCTCCAATCATCGCGTTTTACTAAAATGACACTTTGATTTAAAACTAACATCGGAACCACCCTAGTAATTTATTTATATTTTACCCCGACAATTATTGTTTCTAAATTATGCATTATTGTATCATACAACATTATAATTTCAATTATTGTTTTCATCATGCAATAACACAAAAAAGAACCATAATTTAATTTAGCTAATGACTTTAGTATCAAACCACTAACAATCCGAACTTTCCGCTGATTCGATTGGTTTCACAAAAACTGGTTCTAAGCCATACCTACAATTAAGGCGAATCAATAAAAATTCCAGCTCGCCGACGAGTTACGAGTCGAACCTGTATTTGTTATAAATATTTCTATGATGACAATTTACTCACCGAGAAATTAACAGAATTGTATTAATAAATAGCCGGAGATTCTGATTTATACAGCATCATCATCCTACATAGTAAAATGCAACTGCCACTTTTGAGAAAAAAACACCCCATATTTATAATACAAAAAAAAATTAGACTTTTGCTATACTGACCTATTTTCCAAAATTCAGGCTCTAATTTGAAAGCTTGAAACTATGTCCATGAAAATTGTAGAAGGTTGTTGTTTATTTTACAAATAAGTACTTATTCAATATGGAATTGACAAGAAGAACAAATGAATAGGCATCTTGTCTTGCCTGTACCGGTATTTATTTTCAAAAAGCTAAAGGCTTGTATGATAGAGTGACGTAAGCCTCTTTTATTGTCTTACGCCGATTTTAACGCGGGTGTAGCTCAGTCAAAGATTCACCCCTTTTTCCCCTAACCCCTTACACTTACCCCTAACCCGATTGTTACTTCTTTTGTATACGTAAACAGTACGGATACTGTAACAAAAGATACGGGTCAGTTTCTGGTCGTTTCTGGGGCAACGTTGTTTATTAATAAGCCGAGCGAGCAATGCGTTTATGTGTAAAACAAAAAAGCGTGAGACGTGGTTTCGAAAATTGCCAGTTATTATAATAGGCTATATTATAAACCGGGTCACTGCTGTCAGCTTCCCATTGTCATAATGGTCAATTAGTAGAGCGTCTCGCGCTGCTATTACTTCGTAACGGATTGTGGGAATCGCTCGAAAAGTCCAATTTTATTTGAAAACAAAAATTAAGCGCGTTCTCTGTCGCAAGACTGTCACAAATCTGCCCCACACGAGTTATCAGTTTTTTTTATTGTTATGAAACTATCATTTTGGATGCTGCCTACGAATATACTTCTATAATAAGCACTATAATAGGTATTAACCAAGAATATCAAATTGACTCTTTCTTTTAAAATAAAGGATTTCGATACAAGAATCATGCTGATCATCAAGTAGGTGTATTAAAAGTTTGATCGTAAACCTAGAAGTGTAGTATCTGATCCAGCAAATAGCTAAACATTTTAATTTATGGAAGGATGACTAGACCAATTTTAGTAATGCATTAAATTTGATAAAGTACCGGACCAAACATTATTCCGTTTAAATTCCCATTAACTTTAAAGACAAGTCAATATTTGAGTCATCGCATATGACCAAATAGTTATAGTCAAATTAATTTGCGGTTGCAAGTATAGACCGCATCAACACCAATAAACACGTCACACCCAGGAATTAATTAAGCGTGA